AATAAAGAAACATTTTCCAATTTGCACAAAACAAACGACCCTTTTAAGAAAAATATAAAAAAATCAATACTAGTTTTTGTAGAACATAAAAAATAGCAAACATTGAACTTAAAAACATATAAACATAACAAAATATTGATATTCGTAAATTTGCCAAAAAATTATATTAATATAACAGTAAAATATCTTTAAACCAAGCTAAAATAATAAAGATATGTTGGACTAATAACTATACTAATTAAAGTAAGATGAAATTACTTTTATTCTATGTTCCTATAAGAAAAAAAAGTCTTAACTTATTGATATATAGTTGCATAACTCCTATTATTATCACTTTATACCATTATCACACCATCTTACATTAAACGGTTCACTAAGGGGAGGTAATAATTTAGAAACTTAAAAAGGTATTTGTAAAACATTTTCAATTTAATATATAACTAAAAGTTTATAGTTATTTACTATTTATTACATCACTCAATACTATTATTGCACCATCTTTTATTGAATGGTTTACTAGGAGGAAGGATAATTCAGACGCAAGTTTAGTAATTTACTCGGGGAAAGGGTATAATTCAGTCAGATATTTGTAAATGATCTTTACGTAATCATAAAACTAATTTAAACAGTTAGTATAAACAGAAATAATGCAACTATCAACTAATTATTATTTATTTTATATGTGTAGAATTTCAATCATTTTCCTTTAATGGAGATCAGACCATCTTACATTGAGCGATTTACAAGGGGTAGGTAATAATTCAGACAGATTTAAATTATATCGGTCTGAATTTTACTTTTACATACACAGTTATATAACAAAAGCATTAGTAAATAAAGAACTAATGAGTTTATATTTGCTTTTTTTCTATTACTACCACTCTATCTTATATCGTCTTTCTTACATTGCTTTTATGTAAACTTTTTTAATTTATAGAATTCTTGTCCTAAGCGTTTTTTTCTCCTTGTTTATGTTTACAAAGATAGTACGGACGTTTTAGGTACACTTCTAACAGTTATAATCCGAAAGCGCAATCTCGTTTTGAGTTTTACGCAGTGGGAACTATAGTTCCCACTGCGTAAAACAAAGTAACTTTTTTGAGTTCTGTAGTAAAATATTAGATCCGCCTGAAATATTATAATATTTCAGGCGGATCTAATATTTTACTACAGAACTCAAAAAAGTTACTTTGAATGCGAATTTAAAATACGTCATTTTTAAGAGGTCTGAACTCCAATAGGAGGGGTAAAAAAATACTTCCGCTACAATATTTACTTGAGAAAACGAAGTATAAACATCTAACTAAAACTGCTAAAACAAATATTTACTATAAAATTAATCATGGAGTACAATATGATTTCAAAGTTGAAGAGTTAAAAAACTATTTGAAATTAAGAGGATTAAAATTTAATGGTAAAAAAGAAGAGCTAGTTGCTCGTGTATTTGCTGCAATAGAAAACAATGTTCTACCAATAAAAACAGCAGTAGAAGTTGAGGCAGATTTAAAAAAAAGAATATAATTTGAAACTGGAATTAGAAGATATGCAGATACCTGATCCGTTCAAAATTCTTGATGGCTGGATGGACGAACAGTAGGGTATGCCATTCTGGCCAATGTTATTATATCCAGATATATTTAACTATTGAATGTTTAATCCCTCAGAACTCGGAAGTAATGACTTAAGTGACTATAAAGACTCAAAAGCATACAGCTACTATAAATCTTCCTAGCTTCAGCCTCTTATGTATCATAATTTAACAGGCAGTAATTACTTTATATTTAAATCAGAATGTCGGAGATCACAGTCTATCAATGATACATATCATAAACTGTGGCTAGTATTAGAAAAAAGTGCTAGAATTAAAGCCTGTCATTGTACATGCATGGCTGGCATGGGTCAAACTTGTAACCATGTTGCTGCAGCAATGTATAGAATAGAAGCTGCTGTAAGAAATGGATTAACTAACCCTGCATGTACAAGCACATCAAATGAATGGCTGCCATCTAGAAAAGAAGTAGCGCCTTCTAAAATCAAAGACCTTGACTTTAGTCGTGAAGATTTTGGCAAAAGAGGTAAAAAAAAGAGAAAGTTAGTAGATACACAAAAAGAAAAATATAATCCTCTATCGAATAATACAGTACAATTATTAAAAATCAATGATGTAGCTTCTGCTCTTGAGAAAATTGTGCCAACAAGCATTTTGTTTACTGCTGTTCCAAAACCAAAAATAGACTTTATTCGTGAAGTTTTGACAACAGTTGATATGCCACCAGTTGATTTGCCAAGCACTTACAGTTTAATTTCTACCTCTTTGTGTTGTGTTGAGTTTTTTACAGGTTTAGAAGTAAACATGTCAGCCAAAAATATAAAACAACTTGAATTAGTAACACGAGGGCAAAATAAAAATGAAAATTGGTATCACTATCGAAAAAGTGTTATAACTATCTAAAGCTCACGAGGTAGTAACGAGTATGGATAAAATTAAAAAAGTTGTTTTAAAGAAGTTGAAGCTGTGAATGCGTTTTATGTAAAAATGAAAGGACATCATAAAAATCTTGATTTAAATGAATGTGGACTATACCTTGATTATGAACATCCTTACATTGGAGCAAGTCCAGACCGAATAATGTCATGTGATTGCTGTCCTAATGCATGTATTGAGGTGAAATGTCCTTACAAGACTAATTTTACTGCACCAACAGAATTAAATTTACCATATTTAATAAAAAAGGGTGTTGATATAAAACTCAAAACTAACCATACTTATTACACCCAATGTATGATGTAAATGGCTGTTACAAAGTGTAGTGTTACATACTTTGTTGTATGGACCCCACATGGCATAGTTATAGATAAAATTGATTTTGATGTATCTTTGTGGAGTTTGTTAAAGGAAAAATTTATAAATTATTATAAAGATTACTATTTAAAATCTATTTTTAGCACCTAATTTAAATCTTTTAAAAAATTCTTTTATATTTAGGTTTTAAGCATATTTTTAAAAACTTAGTTTTTTGCTCTAATGCTACTAATTATTATCTTCCTCTAATTTTATTATGATAGTAGATAATATATTATTATTTTTTTTAATGAAATTGATTTTGTATAATATAATACTGCGACATTATATTATTTGAGGATAAATTTATGTTGTAATGTTGGGGGACACAATTTAAATATAAATCTTTACAAAATTTTTTCCCCCATTTGTTTAACCTATATGTGCTATTTATACAACCATAATATATATATAAGTTAACCTTTACCGTCTTTACATATAGTTTAAGTTCTTATGGTCTTTTTATAATTTATTAAATTTTGTTAAGAAGATTTTGTAGTTTATTTTTATCAAGTTTATTTTTATCAAGGTAACGTGATGTTTCTATTCTTACCCCTCCTGTGCAGTGCCGAATTAAGGGGGGGGGCTATATCCCCGGGCCCCGTAAATTTAGAGGCCCCAAAAAATTTTAGAGGACCTTTTTTTTTCTAGTCATTGTTAGGCTCTGGCCCATAAAAAAGACCTCCAAAAACAAATATAGACCCAGGCCTCAAGAAGTCTTAATCCGCCAACACTTAACACCCAAAGTAGTATTAACAGTTGAAGAAGTCAGGACCGGCGATAGGGGCGTAACAGCGGCGGCGTAAGTGATAGTGGAGAGGGCCATGCGCAACCTCACACTATTCATTTAAGTAGCTTTTGCCCCCTCCTTAACTTTAAAGATATTTTTCAGATTATTTTTACCCTGATGTCATACAATGACAATAATATTCGTGAAATGAAAGTCAAAATTTAGTCAAAGAACCTTGTTATTAGCCCCCTGAATTTTTTTAAATTAACAGAAACAAAGATTATTTAAGATTAACTTTATTTCTAACCTCTAAAGTAAGCGAACTGACTACTGCACCACGGCTGCTCCTAAAACATTCGGAGAAGGGAGGGGCTTAAAGAGGAAATTGGAATTCGGAGAAGGGAGGGGCTTAAAGGGGAGGGGAAATTGGAATGCTTCCCCCTCCCCTGCCCCACTTTTTAAAACGCTCCGCCTCCGCTGAGGTGAAACATCTCTCCCCACCCCAGTCTTGATTTTTAGTTGGCAAATATGGACATGGTTTGACCTAGTCAGAAAATATAAAAAATCTATTTTTTTTTAATTGGCAATATGCTTATGGAACCCCTAAAAAAAAGTCATTACTGTCTAAGCTAAAAGATTAATTTCCTTATTGCGAAAATCAGTGTCGTTGCTATAATTTATGCTGCCTGTAGCTGATTTTAAATTTGAAGATCCTTCAACTTTAATAAAAGGTACTAGATTTGCTTTGTATCCACTAAATACAGCGATAGAGATTTATATGTAAATTATTCTACCTCCTATTAACCAATCAACCTCTATTATATTTGAGTTCCTTTGTTTCCTCCTTTTTAAAATATTATTTTAGTTCCTTAATTGCCTTTAAAAATATAGGAAAACTACAAGTTACATACCAAAAAAGTTTTATAAAAATAGAATCTTTTATGATTCTATAAAAATAGTTTTATAAAAATAGTTTTATAGTAAAAGTAGTTAAAATCATAAAATACTTTATGCATTAGAAGGGGAGAAAACTTTAAAAAATATCACACCATATATCTTACAAATAACTAACTTTAATAATAAATAAGATAGAAATAAGATATTAATGTAAAGAATTAATAAATTTTAATAAAAAAAAGTTCCTGCAAAGTTAAGAACATTTATACATCATTGAGGAGATAAGACTGAATAACAACACCCGAAGGTACATTAATAAATACAATACATGTACAAGTAATAATTAAACAAAAACAAAAAACCTTTTTGCAAAAAAAAAAAAAAAAAAAAAGACTCAACAAGAAATTTTCTTAATGAGTACTTATTTTTGGTTTAGGGTCTGCTATCAGTTTTGGTTTTAAATTACAAAGTGCACCACATGTTAGTAAAATGTCATCTGCATGTTGCAGCATGCTAATTGACATACTTCAT